ACGACTGTCCTGTCTGCATTTCTTCGCTGCATTAAAATGAGCAATAGGACGTCAATCCGTCTGCATATGCATTTTTCCACCAAATGGAGTAGATGTTTGCTAAGGACAAATAATGCATTTGTGTTACAGCTGTAATATTTGCAATTTTCTGCAGCAGCAATTCGGGCAATTGATTGAATGACGCCGGTAGTGGAATGGAAAGCTTTTTTTCAGGTTTGGTTCCTTGCGTTCGATGTCTTACGGTTGAAGCAAATTCGCTCGCAGTTATTCCTGCTGCATGCGAAACTGAAACTCTTCAAAAGAAGCGTCAACGTAATCGTATCTCATCCTCTAGTCCTACCAGTAATAGGTAGTTTACGGCTCATTCTTTCATTCATTTCTTTTCCGCAAGCTTGCAGTATTGGTGTTATGTTGGCAGTTCCATCGACTGCAGAATTTTCTGCATTTCAGGACTCCAACGATGTCGGAATGTGAAAGGTGCAGTGGAACAACCGAGGCGTCCATTGATATCAAATCAACGCACCTCTTTCCAAAAATTATGCTGAAACGTTTGTTCGAATCATTTTTCTCTCTTAATATCTTAAGGCAATGAATTATTCTGTCATTCTGTACTTTCTTCTGCTCTCAATGAAAATATTTTCAAACTTATATTGCATTTTACGCCATAGAAGTTTTTAATTCTTTAATAAATGTGAATCAGTTTACCTGTGAGTACTTTACACATGTGATCCGCTAGGTGTTAGTGAAACTTGTGACAGCTGGTACGCGGAAATAGACATAAAGTTTGCTCAACAAAATTGGTGCAGCCGCTTCAACTCACTATCAGTCAAAAATTTATAATAAAATATTCAATAAAATTTGGATAATTTCAGCGTTTGAAGAGATGAAGGAAATTGAACATACACTCGTCCAATATTTACGATCTTTTCGCATTTATTCCGCTGTGGAGTGGTTCGCCTATCCACTAACAGTCAACATTCAGTTGCTGAGATTTTGCAAAAGGTTCATTTAAATGTTTCATCTAAATATACCTTACTTTGCTGTCCGCAAAACTGTTGCAATCGAAAAAAATACGTTGTTTACTTCAGATGGTCGATTAAACGGACGTAATGTGACGACGTATTTGTTTGATGCAATGATATTCGTTTGTTTTGTTTGTTTGACATACTCGTCGATTTCAGTTTGATATGTTGGCTGTCGCGACATACGAGCGATTGGTTTACTGAGCGATTNAAAGCATTACGAGTTCACTTACTCATTCTAGTTACTCTCTGATAAGACTGCAGTTATCCATTTCCTTTCAAACACACATCTCCTCGTTCAAATTCTTCTTCTCATAATATACCACCACAATGTTCCATATGCAAATCGTACGTCATCGAAATAGATCCTTATATTACCGATTACGTTGGTTTGTCATTTGACATTGATTGTGGATTTCAGCTGGAGCGGACCAGAACACCTTGAGATGACGAAGTACGATTATCCAGCTGCTCAAGACCATTTGAAGCCCAGTGAAAGTGCACTTTGGAGGATATCAGCTGAAGAGGACGAATGGCACAATATTAGCGACGTGAAATCACTATCGAAGACTCAAAAATTACAATCGGTTAGATGAATTTCTAGTTCTTACTGATTCGATTACCCAAAATTTTCACAGTGCTCACAATCAGCTCTATGGATCCGTTGATTTTACGACAACATTCATGTGAATCATTCAAAGGTTTCACTATTCTTTTACATGATTCACGCTCTCGTCTTAAATTGCTCACATATGTATGTCAATTAGGACTATTCCACTTCAGTTGATCACATCTATCTTTAGCAAACAGCTTTCCT